GTGGACTATGCAAAGAATTAGAAAAGCTAGCTATTCCTTCTCAGACTACCTGTTTGTTCTTGATCTTTCCTCAAAATGCTTGTTGACGCAAACTGCCAAAATCTGCCTTTTGTGTCAGGAGGGTTGTGGGTCTATTTTTCTACCCTCAGCAGTTCCCTGATCTCTGAATTTTAACACAGGCTTTGAAACAAAAGCCCAGTAGGCTACAGTCTGAAGGGAGATCTTGAGCGTGAAGATTCATTTTAAGATATAGACGTCTTGGATTTATAAAATAAGGTCTTATTTATATGATATTCAACGACTGGTTCACTAATCAATGTAAATTCTGTCTTCGTTTACTCACCCTCATGTTGTTCCAAACCTGTAAGAAATGCAAAAGAAGATATTTTAAATAATGTCTTTTAGATGACCGTGAGTTATTGACGTTAATCATCAAAAAAGTTGCAAAATTAGTAGTAGTACATTAGCTTTATGTAAGTATGGAGTGAGCTTTTATTGATAGTGAACTCCAGAACCGTAGGGCCTCTTTACACCTGGTCATTTCATGCGTTTTCGCTGATAGGATTTGTTAAAAGGTTTCCATTTACCCTTGGCCACACGTTTATTATTTTAACATTTTGGGAGGAGTAAAATTTGCATATGTGGTTTCAACAACAATGCAAACAAGATGCATTTACACTTGCCCAGTTTCGTCTGGAATGCGGCCCAGACCACCTCCTGAAGTGGTTTGAGCGATCGGATTTACATCCGTCTCGAATGCGTTTCGGAGGGCATTTCCACCTGGTCTTTTCACGATCGGATAGCTATCTGATCAGACAAAACGCATGAAGTGACCAGGTGTAAACAGCCCCTAATTCATTCCTCGGGTTGGTTTCGGATCAACTGACTCGGTGAAAAGACACGAGCCGTTCGTTCACAAACAGCGCTAACACTTCCCTCAGAGCATGACCATCAATAAACAACGACTTATTTCGATCTGTTTGATCTGTGATTTCAGAAGACTTGTAATATAGTGTACGAGTCATGTGGACATTTACTACTAATACTACTAATATTTATTTATTGGTGATTTTTCTCTGAGTCTTGTCACCACTTATTGGAATAGCATGAAAATTACATTTTGGAAAGACATTTATTATCAGTGTTGGGGGTAACTCATTACAAGTAACGCGAGTTACGTAATCGGATTACTTTTGTCAAGTAACTAGTAAAGTAACGCATTACTTTTTTAATTTACAAGAAAATATTTGAGTTACTTTTTCAAAAAAGTAACGCCAGTTACTTTGTTTTCCCAGTTATTGACTGACAGCTCTCCTGTCCCCATATCCTCCTGAGCACCAGAAATAAAAAGCTTTGTGAATTTAGTATTTTTTTCATGCCATTAAATTGTTTAGAGCATAAGAAAAAAATGGTAAAATAACATTTCATAGCTGGGTCTCAGGAGGATATTGGGAGAAATCGGGAGTACAGAGGCGTTGTGTGTGCTGCGTGAACATGATGTTACTGTAGTTCTAGACTAAATGTGAATGTGCATTAATTCATCCCACTCACAAAAAACAGATTTAGTATTCATCAAAATGAATTAAAACAGTGAAATGCAAACTCCGAATATGACGCAAACCTGCAATAATTAAATGTTAAATAACACAAATGTATCTAATCCCATTTTATTAACCAATATCTTTGCTGCTGACCTTTGATGATCCAGTTCAACCATACTAATAGGCAAAAATGACTTTAGATAAACTAACAATTGTGCTTTGTTTTTTTTATTGCTGAAGAGTGTTTCTTCTCCTGCGCTCTACTGTACAGACGTGAATTTACTTTTGCTTCAGTCTGAGGTTTATTCATTACACTTTTTATATTTAAAAAGTAACGCGAAAGTAATATAACGCATTACTTTCCATAAAAAGTAACTAAGTAACGTAATTAGTTACTTTTTTAGGGAGTAACGCAATATTGTAATGCATTACTTTTAAAAGTAACTTTCCCCAACACTGGTTATTATTAATCTTTATCCATCAAAGACAAAGTCAGATGGGCTTTGGGGCCAGTAAGTAACGTTAATTTTCATTTTTGGATGCCCCCTTTTTTTACAAAGTCATAGAGCCATTAATTTAGAGGCGATTGTAAAGTCACTGTGAACAGTATCAGCCCTTATAAAAATAAAAATAAAAATAAAAGGTATCAGCCCTTATTCACTTCAACTGCAGTCGTTCCTTGGTCGGTCTATAAGGCGATCAGTGTTGTTACATCAAATTTCGTCTACTTCTAGTATGTCAGCCTCTCCGCCGGGAGGGCGGCTCGTCAGGCCGGTTAGCTCAGTTGGTTAGAGAGTGGTGCTAATAACGCCAAGGTCGTGGGTCCGATCCCCGTACGGGCCACACATCCTTTTGATGATTTATGTGTGTAAATCGGGCGTAGCCATCATTTCAGAAGTGAGGGGGACAGAAATTTTATAGTTATATACCTTCAGTGTCACATAATCTTCAGAAATCATTCTAATGTGCTGATTTGCTGCTTAAGAAACCTTTTTTAATTATTATTATTATTATTATTCATGTTTTATGAGCAGCCTATCAGAATGATTTCTGAAGGATAGTGTGACTGGAGTAATGATGTACAAAATGTAGCTTTGAAATCACTATAAATTACATTAAAAAATATATTCAAATAGAAAACAGTTATTTGAAATAGCCTAGTAAAATATTTCAAAATTGTACTGTTTTGCTGTACTTTGGATCAAATAAATGCAGGCTTGGTGAACAGAAGAGACTTCTTTAAAAAACATAAAAAATCTTACTGTTCAAAAACGTTTGACTGGTAGTGTAAAGTCAACTTTCATTTTTCTCTCATTTTTAGCTTTTAATTGGCTTAGAAATCAGATAACTGCTGGACAATAACCAATAATAATGATTTGTTAATATACTTATCAAACACTACATTTTTTATCGCAGAATAGTTTCTATACTGTAATAAATGCTGTCAGTTAGCACTGCATTGTTCATATACTTGATTTATTACCTGGAGATGACTTGACAAACACAAATAAACTATAATGTCGCAATCGTATGTTTAATGTCTTCATGTTTCCAAACGTTTCCGTTTTTCTGAAAACAACTGTTTTCATACAGCGATAGCTGGACGCTTGTCTCCCTCTGTCCTGGTTAAATCCATGGAAGTAATGCACACATTCATGTTGCCATTTTTAAAACCAAAATTGAACAGACGATATGCAAGTGTAAAAGTGTGAATAAAGTTTTTTTTTTAAATTAAACACTTTGTGAAGTAGCATTAACATGTTTTGAGTGAAATGCTACTTTGTAAACAACAGTATCTTTTTCTTTCAAAAACAGTGAACATTTGAACAATGCTGTCTCTCTGAAGCCATTGAAACAAACTTATTCTTTTCAGCACTCTTAGGAATGTAGGATTCAAAATAAATTCATGTGGGATAACGTCTGTCATATTAGGAATTTCCTCACAGGACTTCCACAGGAGTGTTTAGCCTCTGCGATGTTCATCTCGCCTTATTCTGGGTCCGAGTAAAACATCAGATCATGCACAGACTATCCTGTCTCTTGAAGACCTCTATGCGAACACACTTGCCCGAAAAAGTGCGGGGGACGAATTTACGTGAAAGAAAATCACAGTTTTCAAGCGGCAGTCTATGGAGCCATGGAATAAAAGAATAAAAAAAGGTCAATTTGATTTTATATTTCAAAATTCTGACTTTATTCTCGCAATTCCGAGATTATATCTCACAATTCTAATAATGAAAAACAACTCTTCATTCTCTCTTTTCCCCTCGGCTCTTCTGGCTTTCCCTCAGATTTGTCAAACTCACTATTTTTGAGTTAAATCGAGTTATAAAGTCCGAATTAGGAGATATAAACTTGCATTTGCGAGAAAAAAAAGTCAGAATTGTGAGATTAAATAAATGTTATGTAAAAATGTTAATAGTAAGGTTTAAATAATATTTAATGCTGTAACTGTAGGGCTAATACAATACGTCCCCTATGAACAGCATGTATGTGAATATTATGTAGACCTATTGTTTAAATCGAATTTATGCTTTAAAAGTAGAGTAATCATAAGTTTTTATCCATAGTATGTCCATTTAAACGTCTGCGTTTAGCTTCAAATGGCATTTTTATCGACAGTATTCTATTTAAATTATTTGCATTCCGATCTTGACATCAAAAGGCACAAAAATATATTTTTCTTTTATTCCATGGATTTTACCCATTTATCTCCACTTGTTCCCAGTGTTTTTCTGCAACCATGCGCGCGCAGCTGCAAGTGACGCAACTGTGACATCTACTTTAAATAGGTCTATAGGCTAAATTGCCATGATAGTTCACTGCCCATTGCCAGTCCTGGCATTCTTTTTTTTATTGTAAATTAGTCTATCAAGTTAAATACACAAGCAGGCATTTTAAGTTATCTAGGTTCAGTTTCAACCCCCTTCTTACAAGACATTTCCATCTAAGATCATCCATCCATGATATTCCTTTCTTTGTCAATGTTAGTAACTTTTTTTTTCTGTCTACAACACCAGCATTCCAGAGACGTATCTTTAGTGTTGCAGAACCTGCTGCGTGACAGACTTTCAAATAAAACTGTCGAATGAGGACCTTTTAATTAACAAGATGACAAAATGTAGTTGTCCACTTGCACAGGTGTTCATCCAAACCTTCCACATCTCCCTCTGTCCTGGTTAAATCCATGGAAGTAATGCACACATTCATGTTGCCATTTTTAAAACCAAAATTGAACAGACGATATGCAAGTGTAAAAGTGTGAATAAAGTTTTTTTTTTTAATTAAACACTTTGTGAAGTAGCATTAACATGTTTTGAGTGAAATGCTACTTTGTAAACAACAGTATCTTTTTCCTTCAAAAACAGTGAACATTTGAACAATGCTGTCTCTCTGAAGCCATTGAAAAACTTATTCTTTTCAGCACTCTTAGGAATGTAGGATTCAAAATAATGCACTAGAGAGCCAAGTTTTAAAGAGATGTCTGTTTTTTCTTTTCTGTAACTTTTAGTAAAAGTTCTTCTTCCAGTATGCATTTAGGAAAAATCAGTCAGTCCAGTGAAAGGAGATTAGTTGCAGTCATAAACAAAGTCATAATTGCTTGGCTCTTTGGGGATCGGGGGAGGAACTTCAGGGATTTGGATGTTCTCCAGGTCCAGGAGGCGGAGCTTCATCTCCATGTTGAGAAGAGTGTCCATGTCTGAGCGAGTGAACTCACTGGTCATCTCCTTCCCCAGCAGTGCATTCAGCCCATCTGTCCACACGCAGTACTGAAAATTGGCCAGAAAACATGACATTAAATCACAGTATGCACAAAGTCCGAATCACACCAAAGAGGGACAACAGCTACAACTTTGCAGCTTGTGGTTGCCATTTGCTCACCTCATGCTTGTCAGGGGCAATGAAGTTTAGATACTCATCAGATTCGTAGAGGACAGAGAAAGCCAGCTCCAGCAACTCCTAAAGAAGGAAAGAGAATTGACACCGTCTGTCAAATGCTAATGGGGCTGCTGTGTTTGTGTGCCTCCTATTGCGTGACTTTTGTAGATCTTCTCCGAACATATTACAACAGCAGATGGTCCAATCTGGTGTGTGTGTGTGTGTGTGTGTGTATGTATACAGGCCTCTCCTGCCGGGCACCAAGAGACAGCAGTAGGACGATCAGCACAGGAAGTGCATCAATGCTTGAAGTAACAAATTACTTCAATCTCATTGACAACAACACTGAAAATATATGGGATAGCTGTCAGGCAAAGTATCCAGTGCAATTGCATCTGTTAACAACCCTTTCAAAATTATGGACATGCAAGCAAAAAGTCACCAATTCAAGTAAGAAGAGGTTCAATTGGCCAACAAACTAATTCTAGTCTCTGTGGCACATTTGAAATGTCTAAAACCTAAATCTTTTCAGACCACCTGACCTGTCTAGAGACCTGTCTAGGATGGTAAATAAGATGATAACAAAGCAAAGAAAAGGATGTATTTTGTGGCAAACATTGAGTTTACCACAGGCATTACTGGTGCAGTGCTTCTCAGCCTTTACAAAATCTGCCCTCACATCATCTCTAATTTGTCTTATTTGGGTCAACTAACCTAAAAAAACAGGATGAAATTGGATCATCCAAATGGCTTAAAGGATCACTGGATGACAGCACATCCAAAATGAGAGCAGACAAACATTTCTGACCCCTCACATTCTGCCCACAGCATCTTCCCATTATTCTGCACAGAGATGAGGCTAGAGACAATCGAGACAATAGAAACCGTACAGTCTCTTCTTCTGCAGTTGATGAGAGAAATGATTTTCCAAGTCAAATTCCTATTAAGATAATTCTTGCTTAAAGAAAAGACAAAGAAACATTGTTGATGCACATTATTATTTTTTTAGAGTCTGTGTCATCAGGACTAGGGGGATCCAACAACCTTTTGGCTATGCCAGAAGGTTCCAGTTATACTTGATATCCTATCCATCAATTTCTTCAAAAGGAAGTCGTTTTTTACAGTTGTGGCATAAATTTGACATTGCCTGCTTTGTTCTGTGGGAAGAAGAAAGGGTGATTTTGAAACTGAAGTGAACTGATGTATCATTACGCACAGAGCTACAAGGCATAACTAATGCATCCTTTGTCACCAAGCCACATGCCAGTGCATCAAAGGAAAATTTGATCTTTTGATATTCAAGAGCATTTTTTGCTCTCAGTCATCCAGCACACACAAAAGGACTCACCTTGTTCTGCTTCAGAGCTCCCTTTTCCTTCATGTGTGGACAGTCTTTACCAGTGACAACAGCTTTAATATCAGCTACAGGAACTGTCACAGGGAGCAAAGAAAAATTAATAAAACAGGGTGTGGCTGTCTCAATCCCATCTTGATAAAGTGAAGCCACCACACCGTGGTCAGAATTCAGACTGTACTCACGTTTGTCCTGTAGGGAATCATGTGGTACCTCTCCCTGAGGGCTTTCCTCCAGATCCCCATAGTGGAGAACTTTATGATTGGGTGACAGTCGACAGTACCAGAACTTGTCTGTAAAGAAGCATAACAGTGGGTCAGTCTTCAGCAATCTAAAGCTAACAAGTTGCCTTTCGTTCTAGTACAACGCTTAATATTCTTTGTCTTTTCCTTGCAGACTGGGCAAAGCCGTAACTGGCAAATTGTCTCCCGATCCCTTCCTGACACTTCCTGTGCCACACCGAAAGTAGACACTGCCAGGACTGATCACATATAGCCTAGAAGGCCATGGCTGGCACTCGACCCTGGTGCCTGAATCCAAATCCTAATTACTGGGAATAGCAGTTTGGCAGACTAAAAAACATTGTGGGATGAAAGAGTGTCCTGCAGGGTGGCACTTCACAGGCTGCATATACACAAACCCAAAGATAAAAGGAGTGTGCAGTAAACAGCTTGATCACTGCACACTTTCTATACCTTCAGCTTATTAACAAGCCAGCTCAATAGGCAGAACAGATATGTGCAGAATGGTTTAATATGCATGCAGTGCCACATGCATGATGAAAAAGGGGCTTCCTTTGTAGATGGCTTTGCTGACTTTCTATTCTAATTGATGATATGCGCAAGTCAAGAGAAAGAGGGAACGATGTGGATGTCATTTTTATTTAAGAGATGTCTGTGCTCCAATGCTCTTTCATACATGCACTTAAACCTGAATCTAGGACTAAGAACTTAAAATCTCAATAACCTTAAGATGGACACTGTATGGAAGCAGAGTCATGAGCAAGGATAAAAACTATTTAACTAAATCTCTTTAGCTCCAGTCGGCTCCAAATCTAAACCTGCAATTCTGAAGACCATGATTAGCTAGTTCAGGTGTTTTGAACCAGGGTTGAAGCTAGATTCTGAAGGTAGGTGGTCTTCCAGAAGCAGGATTGTTCGCTGTCTTAAAAAAAAGAGAACAAAAGTCTAAAATGTTTTAGAGAATGAATGGCAAAGGAGGATTAAATTTGAACATTATTCGGAAAGCTCAGCCTCAGGCAACCTCTGCAATACTTAAGATTCAAGGTAGGAACTGGACCGCTCAATTTGTACACCAAAAGGAGAGAGCTCTGCTATGGGGGAAAAATAGGGAATACAAATGTCAATGTAGCACCTGTCACAGTGAACAGCCACAGGTGCGCTTCTTTCAGTCGCCTGAGAGCACTCCTTAAAAGCTTGCTGAAAAGGTTAGTTGTGCATGGACAAAATAAAAACTGGACTTGTTTAAAAGCCGTTTGTGTGCAAAATAGAGCTGCATGACTCTGGATAAATTGAGACTTTTTTTTTTTTTTTTTTTTTTAAATGGAGGTTGTAGTTCACTTCCAATTCTGAAGAAAATTAACCATTATACAACTAAACAAAATCACTTGGAATTTATTAATTGAATGATTTAATGACTCACTCAAGATTGACTTGTTTCATTACTGGATGAATCAGTGTTTTTGAAGACAAAATTTTTTTTAACAGCCCCTTTTCACCAACTAAAAAAAAAGACACACACAGGAATTGATAAGTGTAATTGAAATTGAAATTTTACAACAAGTATCCGGTTCCTGACCTTAAGTATCCAATTCTGGAATTGGAATTGATTTTCGATTCCCAACCCTAGTTACTATAACAATGAATGAAATATGGAACCTGTATCTCTGCTACAAAAAAACCTGATATACAATATACTGCAGGATACCACAAATGTGGACATGGGCAAAGGTAAAGATTCAGTGCTATTTCATATGGAACATACACACTGAAAAGAATGAGTCACTGAACTATTGGTAGGCTTACTGGAGATACAGGTTTAGATATAGGTTCTATAATTCATTGATTATTGAAGGAAATTCCCCACAGGAATCACCAACCACATGAAGCAACCATAATAATCCAATCCTACAGTATAGGCAACTTGGAATTTCTCACCTCCTACTTGAAAATAACCACCACTATGATGCTTGAGGTCAAGCGCCATTCCATTTGGTTATTTTACCAAGTGGAATTCTGAGTTTCCTGGAATGCAGCATAACTGGAATACTTTGAGTTTGGAAGTAGAACATTTCAACATCCGAACATTCCCAACTGTTTACAAGAGGTTCTCTGTCTGCACTCTTGGTATTCAGTTTCATTTTGCTGTACAATGCTGAACTTACAGAATTTATTACACAATTTAAATTATGAGAGGGTGCCATGCAAGTCATATTTAGTGCCACTAGCCTTTGGAAGATAACAGAATAGTTGATTGTGAGCAAAAAAAATTCATAATAAAAGAAAATGAATGAAACAGGCAAAGTGTGAAAAATCTCAAATGAATAAAAAAAGAGAAAAAGCAAGAATAAGAGATTCAGTGAGAAAGTGGGGACCCTAAGAGAGAGAAAAGAAAAAAGCGAGAGGCAGGCAGATGGATAGCAAAAGACAGACAAGGTGTCTAGTCTCAGAATCATCTAATCCTGTAGAAGTGTGAAGAGTGTTAAATTATCCAGGCTAACTGATAAAGCCTCCCTCTGAGCTCAGCAGACAGCCCTCCTCTTCAGCCAGCCCGCGTAAAAAGCGACATTACATTTGACGATCTTTCAACTCTCCAATCTGCGGCGTAAGCTTTATAACTCCCACCACTCAGCGCTTGTTTGAAATTGGCTTCATACTTCCGCTCTCTCAGCAACAGACAAGGCTATTTTTCACACTTGCTAAATCATGCTGTCGGTTTAATAATAGCACTCATAAAAATATTCATAGGACGTATAAATTTCAGACTGCGTTTAAGTAAGATAAAAGCTATCATGTGAGACATTTTATTATGTTACTATACTAAGAGATTACTGAAATGCAAATGAAAAAAATGTGACTAATAAAGAGCTCCAATCAAAATTCTGTAAATGAGAAGAAGCCCACATTCTTAAAAATAAAGGTTCCAAAAGGGGTTTTCACAGCGATGCCATAGAAGAACCAGTTTTGGTTCCCCAAAGAACCTTCAAGTGAACAGTTCTTAAAAGAACCTTTTTTTTCTCAGTGTGAAGAACGTTTTAATAATCTCAAGAACCTTTTACCACTGTAAAGAACCTTTTGTGAAATGAAAAGGTTCCATGGACGGTAAAGGTTCTTTGTCGAACCATTGATGCCAATAAAGAACCTTTATTTTTAAGAGTGCAGTAGAGGTCACCAATAAAAGCCACAACTGAATAACCCCATTAAATGAATCAGTTCACAAACTTAAGATGAGCACAAGAAAGCTATGCTAGGCTCCAGTTAACTAAATACTTGCATAGAGCTGATGCGTTTGAAACAGTTCAGCTGAAAGTGCATTCATTTTGAAGGGGAAAATGTTTTTACTATGCACTAACCAGACAAAATTCCACCGACAAGCACATTTTAAGAGGAAACTGAAGGTGACAATGCTGTTACACCACATAAACATGTTCAGAACAATGAGCACAAATTTACATTGTTTGCATGCTTGTATTTTCATTCATTTCTATGCTGGTTCCGTAGGGATCCTTGAGGGATTTGTCATGCAATATTCTATGTTTTTCTACCGCCACAAACAATCTCTCTCAGGCTTGACAGAGTTTAATAGTATGCAGGTGTGGGATTGTATCTCAGTGATTTTGTTTTGTGTGTCCGGGGCTATCGACATGCAGAAACAGAAATCAAGCAATTGACAAAATGTAGTGTTATTCATAGCTGCTGGTTAGGACTGAAACTTGGATTAACAAGAAAGAGGCAGCTCTGAATCTTTGGTGCCAAAAATATAAAAATGGTTTTAAAAAAGAACAAAAATAACGTTCTCACCCTTATGTTCAAGTGTGTGTGTTTCTTACCCTGTCTCCTTCGGCTGCTGATCTTCCTGAAGCAGGTGCCCTCACACAAACGATTGAGGCGTTGCTGTTTGATCAACTCCATGATCTCTGGCTGGATTTTCTCCCTAAGCTCCCTGGAGAAACATCAGAGGATCACACAAATGCAGCTTAAAGTACCCCACTTTACTGGCAGTTTACACAAAGAAAGACTCAAAAACAATTCATAAAATCACATACAGACTTGGTCTTTAGACATTTCTTTGTACTACAAGTCAGTAAGGGCCAGACAAACGTCCTTTTATCTTGTTGTTTTGCTAAAGCTACTGTCAAATTTACTGTGCTGCTTTAGATCTAAAACCGAATTTTGGAATATGAATTAGCATTTAAAGGCCTCTCTAATGTTGTTTAGTTATTAAGTAATTCATGAGAAAATCGAATGTTTGTTCACATTATGTGAAAACAGATTTTCTTATCTGGTTTTTATATTTTTTTACATTTAATTTTGCCAGGGATTACAAAAACTGATCTTTGCGTTTCCAACATTATTTTAAAACATACCTGTGAACAATACTAAATGGAAAATAATTAGTGAAAAAGTGTAGGAACCTTGTGTATACTGTCAAAAACCAAGCTGACAAATTGATATTCCTGTTATAGTGAATAGACTGAACAATAGATAGAACATGAAATCATGAGTGATATTTTCAACATTTCAGTTCACAAACTCTGGAAGTTCAACACGGACACTTCCATTTGACTGTTATATTACATGTGGATGTTACAGAATGTTCCGTGAGATTGTACATTCCACCTCAAATGACACTCCTGTAATGCAGTGGGTAATTTATTTAATGGAGTCTCCTCTTAGTTTAATGAGTTATGATGAACTAATGTTATCTTCATTGCCATTTTCAGTGGAAATTGCATTTAAAGGCTTGTTTTCAATCATGAGCAGGACGCAGGTGCAGTACACATGGACCAAAACTAAGTGCTTCAAATAATTGAAGAGTTTCCAGTGACTCACAGGATGGGCCGGGATTGGAAATCCTCCTGGTTCATCCTCTCAGATTGGCGCAATTTGAGGATCTCAGTGTAGCTCAAATTTTGCAGACGACTTTTAAACTGATCCAGAGAGTTAGGCTTGATCGTGAGAGCACGAGTGATCTGTTCCTTCACCACCTGCATCACCTGTAGCACATACACACAGAGTTCATCAGACCTTTGACTGAAACAGTTCGCCATTATGACAGCACAAGGTGAGTATAATTGACATAAAAGCACAAACTTTGTTATGATCTTAGTTTTAAAAAACCTTACACTTGGTCTTGTAGACAGTTTGACTGGTAATGTACAGGCTACATTCACGGAGAAAAAAGTTTTCAGAATAAATGAGGAAATACGTTAAAGCTGGACAAAGAAAAGAGTGAATGCTGCATGAAAAGAAAATATAAAAATCACAATATGTATGTATATATATATATACATACATATATACATATATAAAAAGAAGAGGCTTGGGTGTACTGTACAATTAATGTGCATTGCCACCAAAATGCACACACACATAAACTGGGACGATAATTCAATACATTAATGTTATTAGCAATCTCTTTCGTAATAAATCATTTATAATAGATTGTGCATAATAACATTACTGTCAAGCACCTGGGCAGCCAGTCACACGCTTATTAAACTCCAAATGAGAAGCTTCTAAAACTGTCGATACAATACATCTTTGAACAAAGATTAGTTAATACCTACCTAAGACACTACTGTACGTGCATCTTAAATGAGACTCCCTAATGCTTCTTTAATTACTGTCCTACAACAGGCAAAACAGTAATTGCCAACAATGTAACAAAGAGTCTTGGTTTGAACTTTGATTAATCTAAAATCAGTTTTCAGGCTCAAGTTTTCTTTGAATCTCAGCATAGTTCAACCAAACCCTTCAGATTTATAAAATAACTAACAGGACCTGGGATATTACAGATGTGCTCGAACACAATTCCACATCAAGTGCATCACTTGGGGCTGATCCAGTGACTACAGGATACATACAGTTAACACGTTAACATTTTTTATGTAAAAACATTATAATGTCTGAAGTAGGCAAGTCTTGAAGTTTTGTTTGTTTCATAGGCATTGGTTTCACTACTAAAGAGCACATAGAAGTTGCTGTGAAGAAGCTCTTTATGTGGAGATATGAGGAGGCTAGCCAAGCAGAGTCACGACAGCCGACTTGGGGATTGCTGTTTGACGAAGAATCAAATGCAAACGAACAGAAGTGACAGCCAGCAGTGGACTATGACACAAAAATGTACCCATATGCAGCAAAAGCAGACAGCTTTCCTTCATCCTCGGATACAGAAACGCCCAGCTGCCATAGAGCCACAGCTTTCCAGGTGATGCCTGAATAACGCACAGCTCGAAATCACAAACAGAGGGTTGGTGTACGCACCAAGCCTTGGGCTACAGATCATATGCTATGATTAGCTGGGGAGCACAGTGACGGATGAGTTGGGAAGCTGGAACCGAGTCTAGTTGCTATTCACGCATCCCAGTCACCCAGAGAAGCAGGTGCCGCTGGCTCCCGCAGCAGGATTAGATGAGGTTTAATTAGTGATAAGACTGGGCCAAGGTCAGGGCCCCCTCCCAAATCACTTGGCTGATATGTCCGTGCTTGAAGAATGAGAGGAGTGATTACTGGAGGAATAAACCGCGATGGCTCCATTCAAACAGCACAGTAGCGTTTAAAGGGGAGGGGGTTTTGACAGCTGCAGGTGGGGGACGAAGAAGCGAACGTCTCTCCACTTGAAACAATCCCTTATGGCGGGGGAAGCAATTTTCTGAGCACATTTGCCGATTTTTCACGGTTCAGAATTAATTAATCCAAGGCGCTCTCTCACTTCCTTTTATCAGCCTCTTTAAATCAAGTCGTGGTGGCTGAAATAGAAGCAGACCTTTTATTCGTGAGGATGAGGTGTTATGGGGGAACAGTGGAATTTCAGCTACTGAAGTGGTGGGCGGTGATATTTGTGAAAGCTGAAAAGCTGAAATTGACCTTTTTTTAGACAAATGCACTAAGTGTGTCAGCCTCACTAAGAAGTGTGCGAGTCTTCAACTGCCCCGCCATCCTTATTGTCTTTCTCTCGCCTCTCCTCTTCCGAGCATCTAAATGCACAGAACACACTCGCCCACTGTGTGTCAGCCTGCAGATAATACAGAGTGACATACAGTGGGAAAGAATGAATGTGTGTGTATTTGTACATGTTTGTGCGCTTGTGAGTTGAAAAATTGAAAGCGCTCTTAAGACTAAGACTGTTATTCCGAATTGGACTATATATTTTGATTTATATTAATACATCAGCGCTGTTATTAAGGCATCTGTATTAATTTAATGCTTTTGGACGTCAAAGCTACAATGCCATTGGACAAATCTATTGCTTCCCTCAAGCACAACAAATGAGGGATTAATCTTAATATTAAAGTGTTCCTGAAATATCTTTGGAAAGTGAGTGGGCTTGTGGGATCGTGCCAGTACCATTAAAGGCCATGAATAGAGTTGTGCTATGACACCAAGCAATATAGTATATAATATAAAATGGCAAAAAACACGGCACGATTTTTGTATACTGCCATATTGGATTATACTGAGAAAAAAAGTAAACAAATCCAGATTTTAGGGCCCTTACAGACAAGTGCTGTAAAATATATTTATATTCCTTTATAATTTTATATCCGATAAACTGGCAGCTGCACAGCTGGAAAAATTAATTATAAAAGGATTTTCTGGCTGATTAAAGCTTCAAACTAATTTGTCCTTTGGGGTCCAACCAATTCTAGGGATGCACTGAATGTTCGGCAACCAAAATTATTCGGCCGAAAATAGTAAAAAATTAAAAATAATTTGGCCGAATAAGAGAAAAGACTGAATAAACTGTACCAAACAATGATGTGACGCTATCAAATAGCAACCAGCATAGAGTGACACCGTGGGCGAATTCCAAACGGAAGTTTACTCTATGCCCTACTCCCTTCGAAGGGCAGAGCCCTTGAAGTGTGTTCTTTGAAGGGTGTAGGGAATTACTGTCTCCTATGAGTGTTTGGAACTCCCTAAATTATATAAGGATTTTCTGGCTGATTAAAGCTTCAAACTAATTTGTCCTTTGGGGTCCAACCAATTCTAGGGATGCACTGAATGTTCAGCAACCAAAATTATTCGGCCGAAAATAGTAAAAAATTAAAAATAATTTGGCCGAATAAGAGAAAAGACTGAATAAACTGTACCAAACAATGATGTGACGCTATCAAATAGCAACCAGCATAGAGTGACACCGTGGGCGAATTCCAAACGGAAGTTTACTCTATGCCCTACTCCCTTCGAAGGGCAGAGCCCTTGAAGTGTGTTCTTTGAAGGGTGTAGGGAATTACTGTCTCCTATGAGTGTTTGGAACTCCCTTGGTGAAGGGAATGACTGGCCAAATGTTACCTTGACAACCACCAGTTGTTGCAAATATATATTTCTTCTCATTATTATTATTTTATTCAAATATTGTCTAATTGTGTCTTATTTACTATTAAGCTTTTTCAAACTAAACTTGCTTAAACTACCATCTTAATATTTCTGACGAAAAATATTTTGCATTACATTAAAATAAAGACAAATTTAATTAGCCTATTCTATTTACGGTTGTGTCGAAAGAAGATCACATGCTCACAAACAGAAATCACTTCCGTGAAGTGACCATCGCATGTTCCCTTTGCTAACGGACTTCTGGAAGGGCTCTTCGTGCAGGGATTCAGTTGTTCACTTTCATTTGGAACGTCCCTACAAATGGCGTCCCCTTCCCGAAGTGCCCTTCAAGGGCGCAATAAAGCCGTTTGGAATTCGCCCACATGTTTACACCGGACGTGACGCGTCCTGTCGCGCAAGCGCAGCATCAGCTAAAAAGTCTGTCTACACTGGACACGACAAAGTGACCCTTGAAAATCATTTGAAATTTGTGTCAATACGTCATAAATAGAACGCGGCAGCAGTTTTCTGTCGGAGATTTGTCATGTCGCGCAGACAGCATCACAGCACTGATTATAATGAGTTCTATAGTATTTTGTCTTGTAACACTCCAAAGAGAAAGGAAAAATTGAAATCGCATCATATGACCCCTTTAAAGCTTTTGTGAACGGCAGCCCTGAATGAACAATGCTTATCAGAGGACAGAAGGACAGAGTTATTTCACAATAAACAAACTGAAATTGTAGCCTGCATAGTTTGTGCAATTACAGTTATTTAAATTGAATGTTGAAAGATAATATAGATCATGTTCTATTCTGTAATGTTAATAGAAATCATACACTGTCAGAATAAAAAGGTTGCATTTTATGGAAAATAAAATCCATAAATGCACTGGCAGTCCCTTATGAAAATTAACCATTGTTTTACTAAAGTGACCATAGTTCAACTGTAGTATTTATAGATTTAAATCATGTGTAACAAAAAACATATTTGAACCATGTGTAAACAAAAATATAACCTAATAAGTTGCAATTAAGGCGTATTGAATGTTAAAATGCATTTTAAACTAAGTTAAGTGCTTATCGTTACCCATTTTACTCTTAGTAATTTAATAATTTAATACATTTCATAATGTAAAGGGTTAGTTAATTAGTATCGAATCGATATTGATATCGACGATACTGCCTTGAAAAATATCGGTATCGTATCAAAAACAAAATAAGTGGTATCGCCCATCCCTAAGCAATACCTGCAACGTATTCATAATGAGACTCATTTATAAATCTACTGTTGTCAACAAAAAGAAGCATTGAGGTTTTCCTGCGCATTTCCGCCAAAATAAAAGTTGAGAAAAATCAAGAACTCCATCAACATTCATAAATGTTAGTATTGTAATTTTACTGCTGTTCTGAAAAAAATAAATAAAAAGACAATAATAATGATAATAATAATTACAACAGCTCTGTTAATACATTTATTATAACACACACACACACACAGTGTTCAAATTGGGATCTGTAATATTTTCTAATGTTTTAAAAGAAGCCTCTTCTCAGCAAGGCTGCTTTTATTTGTACATTAAAAAATACATGCCTGAAGGGGGTCTGATGGCCAAAAAAATATTATTTTACCAACTTATTAATTTTAAGTTAAATTGTGCTTTGTTGGTATAATGTCTGCTAGAATGTTAAAAAATGTTCAGTGTTAAATATTTTTAAATTTGTTTTTAATAGATTTTTTCTTTGAAAAGTAAGACAAAACAGCAAAAAGCACATTTTGGCTATTTAATTTATGCAATGGTGAAACAAATTGGCAAAATACATGGGGGAAAAAACTCGAAAAACCGTGTTTGGTATTCGGCCCAGTGTTTCATTTTGTTCGGCTTCGGCCAAGAATTTTTATTTCGGTGCATCCCTAACCAATTCCAGGCAAACGGCTGTGGTACACAAGCCAAACGTTGACGAGAAACAGACAAACAAACCAACTGTAAACTAGACTGTCACTTGAGTCAGTAAGACAAATAGTGATACATGCACTGAAAAAAGTTTTTCAAGCAGTACTTCATCCAATTAATAATTTGTCTTTCAATTAAATTTACCATTATGTGTTTTATTTTTCAAGTAATATTTTTTTAGTTAAAAACATTGATAAATCTAAATATTTTTCATTAAGAGCTCAACTAAGACATATTTGTTTTGACGAATGTAAAATATCAAGGTTAGATTAACCTTTTTCGCTCTTTCTTTTCCTCGAGAGACTGTTTGTGATCGGCGAAAAATTGTTGTTTGTCTAAACGACGGGACATTTCTCATGCATTAGCTAATGTTAGCTAGTTTTCTCACGCACCTGCAGAGGACAAAACCGCGCTTGAACCCCGGACCAGCGAGTTCGACTGAGAATATTTTCGTCTTTTCCTTTTTCTTTTTCACTCGATGTTGTTTATGAGGAGTGTAAGTTAATTTTACTCATACAGGATTGCAGCGGAGGAGAGACAATGGTGGCGCTAATATGGTGAGTGCAATAATTTAACGACCACGTTTAATAGACATGGCTGTTTGAAAGAGTAAGTATAAATTAATTAACGGTATAAATACAAAAACGGATGAATATACTTCTGTTCTATCTAAGTTCAGAGACCTCTTAATGACTATCTTGTTTTGGAAGGAATAAGAAATGGAAGAGATGCTTTGGAAGTGTAAGTATGGCTCTCATAACTGTGAAAAGAGAGCGCAGCTAACATTATATAAACATTATCCCCCAGATTCACAGGCCAGTCTTGGACTAAAATGCATGTTCAAGCCGTCTTAACTGAAAATATCATGTACTGACACATCTTAAAATATGTCAGTGCCATTGTCATGTCTCAAGATGCACACCAGAAAAGTTCTTAGGGCTTTTTTATAAAAGTTATTTAAATATCCTAATTTAACCAAGGCCTAGTCCTGGCTTAAGCTAAACCCTGTCTCTATGTTCAGACATGGAAGTTATACAAGAACGAAACAATGTCGTTGTTCACATCAGGCATGTACATACATTTAAATTATTTTATGCACTAAAATGTACACTTATGCCACCTCACAGCAAAACTCCAGATCAGCTGTATGTCATGTGGGTTAACTGAGACCTGTTCTGAGGAGGATCACTTTATTGACTGGCGCACTGCACAATTAAATGTAAACCCTTAAGTCAGATGCCCTTATAAAGACTAACTTTAATGTTTGCTCTTCACAGAAAAGTTGTCAACGACAAGCCTGACATCACCCAAAGGCCAGCTCTTTTTACAGTAAACCAGGTATGTATAAGTGCATTCATCCCATGTTGTATTTTCCATAATTACAAGATTCCAACTTGGAAAAAGAATTAATGTCCTTGTAGAACTTTTAATTACCATCTGTAATCTGGGAATTTTCTGAGAGCTTCTACTTGTACCACATGATTGTACCTGACTGCTGCAGATTAATTTAGGTCCAAGGACATGAACAGCTCTAAGTAGAACATGGTGTGAACGCAGCATATGATCTTGAGTATTTGACAACAGCATTATCTAACTGACTTGATAATGTCTTTGTCGATCTGTTTCTTCCTCTGTTAGGATGCAGCTGACAAGACAGACTCCAGTAAGAATCCTCAGCGTTGATCAAGCAAGTCCATATCTAACCCATCTAGAGCGGGAATAATCTTGGAAGAAAACTTTGTAATGGATGAACTGACCGATCTCAGGCCTTCGATGTCCATTTTTTCAGACTGATTTATGCCCTGCACCTGGACTAAGTGTATGAAAAGCACTTTACATTTTATTCAGCAGGTAATGCTCAACCTCGGAAAAGGGGAGTTAGCACCTAAAATTCAGTACTGCCAATATTGTGAACTGAGAGTGGAATAAAACCATATAGTTTTGATGCCGTTTGTTGTGATTCTGAGATGAACTGTTTTATGTTAAAATGTTTTTTATGTTAAAATGTAATGGAAATGTTTCCAGATAAAAAATTCATGTTTTGTTGTGTTTTTAAATTAACATTTGGACTCGAATTAAAATAAAACAGAAAATTGCATGAATGTTCCTTTATTTGTTTGCTTTTTTACTTAATTTTTCTAGTTTAAAAAATTGGAAAAATAAAACAACTGATATAGATTTAACTTGGAAATTACACCGAAACATTTTTCATTCATCCAATTAAAAAAAATTAGGGTAATGATTCACATCTATTTTTGTTTTGATTAAATCTATATTTTTTTGTTTGGATCAAAAATAGAATTTAAATTAATTGACTTTCTTCAACAAGAAAAATATACTTCGTGCCAGGTTTTATAAAATAATTTTCATAGACATAGACAATATTGTTTAGGGCAAGTTATTTATTTTTCATTGGCTCAAGTTAAAAAAATATAGATGTGAATCATTACCCTACATTTTTTTAATTGGATGAATGAAAAAATGTTTTCAGTGTGAGCATTAGGTTTTCCTGTCTTTTTTTTTTTACAGTCAGATCATAAGCAGTGTATTGAAACCCATGCACATCCAAATGTGAAAAAACAACCATCAACAGACAGAAACAAAATGAACTAACCCAACATAAAAAGTCATGTGTTTTGTTAAAGGTGAACTATTTTTAACCTTACCTTGCATCTTAACGCAATGCTTATGGATTGCAATACTTATGTATCAAGACGTAAAAAATGTGTAATGCCCAAAGATGTCTATCTGGCCTAAGTGTGCACAGACACACTGCAAAAAAAAAAAAAAAAAAAGCCATTACATCGCAGCATGTAGTGGTCCACTAGTTGGTTTACCAGCACCTTTTTGCAGCTACAGCAGTTTGTTCACCTCCCTCGTCCAGACAGCCAATCAAAACTCTTCCCCTAATCAGGGCAGCGAGATTTATCACTCCTGTCTTATTTTAATTACAACGTCACACAGCTATCCATCATAAATTCACATTTATGCCTCTCTGTTTTTCACACCAGCACATAATTAATAGTCGTATTTATTTCCTACCTGTAATTATGCAAAGGCCATTATTTAGTCGCATCAGAAGAGTTTTTTATTGATTTAAGAAGATGAATCACATATAAGTTTATGAGCAGCTTTGCTGTAAACAAAGCTTAGAAAAGGATGATCTTTATTTATAATCCTGACATTTTGTATGCAATTTGATGCATAATATAAACAGGAACAGCCTTACAAACATTCTGCATGCATTGCTAAAGCGAACAGTGGCAACAGCCACATCATTGTCTCGGCAGACTTGCCAAATCTTGAGATCCAACTCTACACTAAACCAATCCTAACCTGATGCAATGTGGTAAGATTGCAATATGTTTGTCCATATCAAATACAACATGGCTACAAGATGCAACAAAATCAATCAAAAACCATAGTCACTCAAAAAGTACATCATCTAATTCATAAATATTAAGCAAATTGAACATTATTACATATACATACTGTGTGTCTGATGCAATCTTTGACATGGAATACACTTGTCTGTTCACACACTTGTGAGTTCAGTTCAGTTCAACATTCATGTTTATTTTAAATTAAATTATTCAGTCACTTTCAGTATGGCTAGAAAGGTCATGCAACATGATATTCAAACATCGGACCCTTTTAAAAACCCAATAATGTTCATAGTAAGTACCTATTATCATTGCCAAAGTGTGTATGTTATTGTTCCAGCCATGACACTGCAGAAATAGAAAGTGTCTAAAACAGAACTCCATTGCTTGTTGTGTATCTCAATTGTGGCTGGTTATGACAAAAACTCTGATTAACATGGAAAATATACCTTTTATCGTGTGTCGCAGTGTCACGTCTGCTTAGGACATGGTGTTAGGATCAAACTCAAAACCTCCCTATTGACACAGTTCTTCTAAGTCAAAGCTGCTTAATTAGCCTAGGAAGTCACATCAACACTCAAATCTTTACTACAGCTGCAAGAGTTGATAATCATCATTTACAACCTGTCCATCACCCAAATAGTGTTTAGATGATAAAATCTCAAATGGAAAGGAACAGAAAACAAATTTACAATAGAAGCCTGAAAGCATATATTGCACTGCACTGTCTGTGGACCCAATGGGGCAATCAGGCACAAAAAGGAAAAGGGACATTTATCTATTCCACAATTGACATGCTAATTATGCCATTTCCTCCCCCTTAACGATTTTCATAACAGTTTGATTTACATCAAAGAAATGGGCATTACTTCAAAGAAAACAAATAGATATCATTAACGGAAAAATCATTTGCTGGAAACACTGACCGCAAAGACCATGTGATGAATTTAGATGCAGTACAGTCTGGAGTAATTTTGTTCATAAATGCTGGGGGTAAGCCTATGAATAACAAGTGGAGTAGACAAGGATAAAACACCTGTGTATGCATATGCATGCCAATAGGATGCTCTGGTTAGACTCTGCTCAGAGATGAAAGGATGATGAAAACTAAAAAGATGGAGCAAATTTAATGTGAAACCAAAGGCAGGTAGGTCCATCGAATCCCTTCCGCTCGTTCTGACCTGGCTAGGGATACATTGGGTTGTGGAGCAGGTTGCTGGATGCTTGCTGAGGTGTTGGGAGGCATGGCCTGGCACCTACTGGTGTAACAGGATATTAAGCATCTCTGCATGACCATACAACCTGCAGTCATCTGTAGAGTGATGACATCTGTCAGGCTCCTGTTTTAGGTTGTATCATAAGTGCGTAACCTCCAATTGTTGTCACAGTACAGAGAATGACCACACAGATGCAGAGAAAGCCAATTGCACAAAGTCTAGACATGCCCATGCTCTCTGACAAGGAAACATTTCATAACAGGTCCTTGAACATCCTAAAAATTTCACAGGTCCTGGAAAACTCAGCAGGTGGCACTCAGTTCTCTTGGGATCCAGCCACATATCCACACCGTTGAAAGGAGCACACAGAAGTAACTCTTTCACCAAGGGCCAGCATGAAGCATGCTGAAAGCGTGCAATGCATTAAGGTCACTTAAGGTCTTAGGAGACTCAGCTCATAGCGTAGAGTAGTGCTGGTTTTGTATGAGAAAGAAAAACACAAAGAGAAAAAGAACTGAAGGAAAGGAAAGAATGGAATGAAGAAGGATAGGAAGAATAAATGTAAGCATGGAAGGGAAAACAAGGAGGAAAGGAAAGGAGGGAAGTAAGGAAAGAAGGGAAAGAAGTGAAGGAAGCAATGAAGAAGGGCAGAAAGAAAGAAAGGAAAAGGGGGAAGGAAAAAACAAGGGAAAGAGGGAATAAAGAAGGATAGGAATAATGGATAAAGGAAAGGGAATATGGAAAGAAGAAGAGCATAAAGCAAAAAAAAGGAAAGGAAAGAATGAAGAAAGGAAAGAAAATTCTATTTTAAAAAATCTTGCTTTGCAAGGGGAAGTAGTGCTGAGCACGACCAACCAAAACCTCCAGACATCATTCACTTTATGAGATCTTGCAGATTTATGCTTTGAAAAAAAAGCTGCCTGTGATATTACCGTAATCAATCAACGTTAGGCGCTAGCTGACAGCCCATCGCAGAATTCAAAAGTGAGGGGAGATATTTATTGTCTTTTTGATCGTCTACAAAGGGTCAATCCAGTGAATACTGAACCAACAAAGAAAGCACAAAGGACAAGGCCGTATACAAAAGAGATTAACCTCAATACAAGCTTTCCCTGTAAGAACAGCAACCAAAAAAGCCAAACAGACAGTGTTGATCTTCCTACACGTGGGATGCATGCACAAATAATGCTAACTTAACAAACAGCCACACATCAACGAGAGCGGCTGGAGGTCAATGTGCAACGGAGAAACGACTGATGAAGAAACGATACATTAAAGCGCTAATTCATAATAAGTACCCAAGGAGGGGCTGGGTTACGGAGGAGAGCGCAGGTTGGAGCGCTCGCTCTGGATCGCTTCCTCTTTAATCGTTAGCTGAAATCTGCCTCTAACCTGATTACTACAAGCAGCTTCGCACAAAGCCTGTCCCATCTGTGCACCTGTTTCATCTCTCGTTTCCCGACAACATCCAGGCAAATTTGCAAACGCCCCTTCATCATTTTCATTCCTCCATGCTTCCGACACGGTCTCTTCAGCAATACTCACATGCCATTGTCACCTCCATGTTTGGGAGCGCGGCTCCACGTTGGTCCAACCCAGTGTAGCAGAGATGAACCCTGACCAAGTGCAGGGACAATCGGATGGCCAGAAGGATGACAAAAAGTGGTGACAGATGGTTCCCGGGTTGCTTTGTGTGTGTGTGTGTGTGCAGATGAAAACAGACCAAGCTTTAGACAAGGGTTGCTTTCGTCTGGCCGTTCATGCCTATTAGCACTCTAAAATCTGAAAGCATCTCCAAGCAGCTCAGTTTATGGCCATTTCAGCGCTTAAACCTGATTGGCCAGACGCCACGGTTGCTTCAGCCAATGGCATTCCAGCAATATGGATCACATGGTTTGTATACAAGGGAGGGTGTCTGAAGAGGAAAAGATTGGAAGGGGGAGGGGTCGGGTTTATGCTAGCTTAAACAGAGTCACTACATCACTACTACTGCACTTGGATGCACCGAAGTGGCCATTTTAAGTCAGGTGTCATAGCTGTCTTCGTCAGAGATGATTGGGTGGAGAAGACAGCTGTTTATGAACTAAAACACACATGCACACAATAGCTGTTCTATGCTGTCGTGGCGAAGCGGGAGCAGGAGTAATTAGAATGTGGTTGCTATGGAAACAGGCAAACCACTGCCTGTCAGATTTCTTTTTGCCCCAGGAGCATCGTCGAGAGGAGACCTGCCTCCCACTTCTCGACTCCACACCTCACACACACACACATACACACACAGATGGACAGACAATATTTACAGGATGTGACAGGCCTATCATGAAGAGAGAGAGAGAGAGAGAGACAGTGGGGGAGGAGAAAAAATAGCAGGTGCGTAAAAGAAATTGTTGGTACCCTTGGAAAATATGATCAAAGGCGGCTATGAAAATAAATATTTTTATTCTTTTACTAAACCCCTTTCAAACAGTGTCACGTTCCGAACATTGTTTAAGCGACATACTTAAACATAATACTTAATACTTACGTATTGCGGTATTTTAAAAATTCATATCATAACAAAAATAAACACCGGTATTCGGTATGAACCGGTATACTGCCCAGCACTAGTTTTTCTCATTGTGATGGGAGATTAATTTGGAATTCGGCCTTTGTTTTCCCTCCTATTTATATTCCTGTGAAACAGGAAGCCATGGCTGGATAGTTTCATGTTCATAATTACCCTGGTGTGCTCAAAATTGTGAATATGAATGGGAATGTATTTCAGATATATTTTACTCATAAGAATTTCTAGGGGTACCAGTAATTGTGTCCAACATGTATTTGAGAAAAAAACATTTATTTCATAATGATATTCCCTTATAAGACTTAAGTCTTATCTTTCAAATAATGCCCTTATTTTAAGGAAATTCAAACAATAAATGCCGTTTTGACACGCTTTGATGTGGCGTGACAGATCACTGTATAAACGGCTCATTTCATACTGCATCGTGGAGCGCAAGTGAGCGCGATCATCCCTTTCTCTTTACTACTAGTTTTAACGCAAAATAAACACAAATGAACATCTCATGCCTCATGTAATCGCTCAATCAGTCTTTCAACCACATAGCATTTCATTTACCTCAGGCAAGTCATCAGTGTCCACAGCTCATTAGTTCACTAGAGAAATGTCTAGAGAAGGAAAGTCTAGAGAAGAAAAGTCTAGAGAAGAAAAGTCTAGAGAAGAAAAGTCTAGAGAAGAAAAGTCTAGAGAAGAGCATTTCGGGAAATATTAGACATACTGTATAGTCATTATATTTTACTTTACCTGTTAGTGATGTCTTAATTATTTATTTATTTAATGTATGTTTAAATAAATCTGCTATGAAACAAGTTATGACAGCCACTGTGTAAATGAATATATTTCAGTAACAAATAGAAATGTTATAATTTAGGATTTAATTTAAAAAACTGCATTATGTGCTATTTACATGTTTGCATACAATTTTTTTGGCGTTTATTGCCTTTTATTAGGACAGGACAGTAATTTAGACAGGAAGTGAAGTGGGGGAGAGAGAGAGAGAGGGGATGGGATCGGGAAAGGTCCACGAGCCGGGATTCGAACTCAGAACGCCGAAGTTTATAACGTTAAACTAGCTTCAAGCCATGTTTTATTAAGAGCTCAACAAGAATGAGCTCAAGGAATGCAAAAAAGATGCTGCCTCCTACAATTTTTTAGGGGAAAGCACTACTGTGCTTGCCTCCTCTGAGAAAACTGGCTGGAATCATTATTTATTCTTTTAGAAACTGGAGTGAGGAGGTATTATAAAGTTTATCCTTTCCTAGAAATGTGTATTCTATAGCATTAAAGGCTTAAAGAGTTATTTATTTATTCTGGAAGGATACAAGACCAACATGTAATTAACAACTGTCTCTTAAAATTGTAAGATACTATACAAAGCTAAAGTTAAATCAGCTTGGGAAGGTGACATCTGAGCAATGAAACAGAGTTATTACTCTTTAAGTCTGTATTAAGCTCCCACAAAAAGGTGGGTCTAATCTTCTTCATTCAGGATTGTGTCCACACACGACAAGTAAATACAATGGATGTCGAGATTTAGGTGTTGCACTAATTTTTTCTTCTGTGAAGAAGAACTGTAATTCATTCATGACTGAATGAATTACAGTCGTTCTACTGATGATGTTCCATTGATAAGATAGTGATAGTCTTATTACTCCATGCATGTCAGAATTGATGGTTATGTGGATTGTTATTTAGAGATCCACTGCTTTGTATTTTCCCAAATTTTGCTCCAAGGCAATAGAGGCAAGACTCACTAATACACAAAGCATTATATGAAACAAGAGCTTGATAGGACTAAAGTTTTGATTTGTGCATTTCACCATCTCAACCTTCTTGCTACCATCAAAAGAACCTGAAACAAATCAATACTGATGGCAACTTTTCATCCCTCAAGTAAAGTTTAAGACAAAGACTACTTCCATGTGTGCACACTGTTAAGACAACTGTCAGAAAGAAAGAATTGGGAGTTCTGATCAGTGATCACCAGATTAAACAGCAGTTTTATCTCTATTTTCAGCAAGCCTATTTATAATGAGGCAGGAATACAGACGAGGGGCAAAAACGAGCAGGTTTTCTCAGATGTGCTGCTCATATAAGAAAACAAAGGATGATGAATTTAATCACAGTGTCCAGAGAGACATGCTCCAGGGAGATATTTTAAAAATGAGTTTTCATGTCCATGAATCTTAATTAAGCTCAAATATACAGCTTTACATGAGATGGTATTTTATCCTGTGCTACAACTTGGGGACAAGTTTGCTGTGTGATTATCATAATTACACAAACAACAGCCTAGGAAATCTCATCCACCTCTTTTACCAGAAAAAAAGTTTGCCTCTGTCAAGAGTATGGAACTATAATTTTCACCAGCACTAACTTCAGTGAGCCCTGCCTTTCCAAGTAGTGTGAAGTAGTGATAGACCAGTTGTCTAATAACTAAGCTTGATTGGATGATAAACTATTTCAAAATCTGGTGAGAGACCTGCCACGGCATTAGAACATTTTCTATTTTCAGCTCCGAGTAAATGTCTGAGTAATGTCAAATTTTAGGGCTGTGTTCACTAGCATACTAGATAATGCTATGGTTCTGAAACTGGTATACAATTTTAAGGATACTGGTGTATTGACTGATAAAATTTTGGTATCATGAAACCCTAGCATCGGCAAATCAAAAGGTAACACTTTACTTGAAGGGGTGTGCATAAGACTGACATGACACCTTCATAATCATGACATGACACATATCATGAATATGAAGGAGGTTTTATGCATGTTTATGACAACTGTCATTAAGTGTCATTCGCTCAGTTATGTCATTTTTAATGCAAATATGACATTATTTGACCTAACCCTAACCTAACCCTACCCGTACCCTTACCCCTAACCATAGCCCATAACAAAGACATCTCAAACAATGTCATCTTTGCATTAAAAATTACATAACTGAGCGAATGACACTTAATGACAGTTGTCATAAACATGCATAAAAACCCTTCATATTCATGACATGTGTCATGTCTTGATTATGTAGGTGTCATGTCATGATTATGAAGGTGTCATGTCAGTCTTATGCACACCCCTTCAAGTAAAGTGTAACCCAAAAACCCATATTGGTTGACCAGGAAGATGTGAGGGGAAGATGAGAGAATAACACAGAACACTCAAGAGAAAGTGAACGAGCAAAACAAAGTAAGGTAAAGGGTGGCCGATGTTGAGTTAAACAGAGGTGCGGGGTCTCAATCAAAAGGGTTGCTCTTACCTTATTGAAGTCTTCAGAAGTGGCTCTCATCTCTTTCCAGGTTTTGTTGAGTAGTTGGATACAAATGCAAAAGAACTCCTCAAATGAGCGGTCGTGGGTGAAAAACATCGGGTGGAAGTCATGGCAGTTTTCGCTGGCTGTGAACAAACAAATGAGACAAAGTGATTTATATTGTCAAATGCTGCACATCAATCCACCTGAAGAAAGTTGACTTATCAGGTAAAGCAGCAATACCCGTATCTCATGACTCAACTACACCCTTTATTAATGTTGATCAGCATGTGAGTCTCAAGAGAACTTCTGACTCTCCAACAGGGACTTTGAGCATGAACTTTTAAGGAGGCTCACGTGTCTGCTTTAGTTGCCAGCTTCAGCCCTCACGTGGGCTTCTCATGCACTGACACATCAGATATGGCTGGGAACGAATGGTGCTACCTCACGATGCATCTCTCTGAAAGAACCTCTTGGCAGAGCAGACGATTATTCTCAAGCAAGAGAAGCACGCGCTTGGCTCTCAGGACACCTACACATTTGAAGTGAATGTGAACAGTTGGTTAAAAATGGCATTTTTATAGCTGTGTTTTCTTTCACTGCATTCCCCTGCCAGCCAGTCACTGGTCTTAATTCAGAAATCAAAAAAAAAAAAAAACACTTTTGAAATTCTCAAGGGCCTTAAGTGATTCTCTCTGTTCCCCACCAAAAATGAATATCATCATGCTGTACTAGTTTGTGTTACATGTGGTCTTGGTCTGGAGACCTCCTAAGATCACATAAAGGTGGCCCTTTTTCGGGTTCTCATTACGTCTCAGTCTGGTCTGGGTTTTATAATGGGCTGTCACTGAGCATCTGTCGGCCTAGTTTTTGAGGTGTCTTTGGATAATTGAGCATGTTTGGATAATGGAGCATGTTCAGCTGCTCAGTTTTAGAGAACCAGTGCACAAGAACAAAAACAAAAGTGACAGAAGTCAGGTTACAACCAAGACCCAGGGCTGACAATGCCAATGACATTTGCAGCTTGAAATTATATACAAACCCATCTATCAGGATCAAGATAGACGTGTAAATGCTCAGCAATGACGCTTTGTTTACTTTTTTATATTTGCAGTCCTAGCTCTTCTGGTTTCTCTTTTTTAACCAATGAATCCAGATTACTGCCATCTGCTGGTATGGAGACAACTTTGTCTTTCATGCATGTGTAGAACATACATGCTAGTTGGACATTGGCTGTAGTCTTTGAGGTGTGTTCATGTGGCCCGCATGCAGGCGATACCATATTTGGCTTTCATCGCTGCTAGTTCTTTAATGTCAGCTTCCTGTCTACTGTAGGCCTTTTATACGGTCTCAGGTCTGGATCTTCTAAACACATCAGCTGAATTCCAAGTCTTTCTCCAAAAAATATTCTTCTGTGAAAATTTGACTTACAATTGTTACTCTTGAAACTTTCTTACTTGTAGAGAAACTCACTTTATTCTCTTTCTTTTGTCTCATGGTGTCCCATTTTTTACTTTTCTGAGCAGTTCTAGAACTTCTCATCTCAATTTTTCCCCCACAAGGAAATTGCTTTGTTGTATCCCTCATGTCGAAGTCGCTTTGAATAAAACATCTTCTAAATGAATACATGTAAATGGATTTGGGTCTCACTTTACAGTCAATATATTCAGCATTTCTCTTTTTCAGTTCATTAAAATGGCTCTTTGACTGACAAGCGTCAAGGGGTATTGGTCTGAGTCATAGCAGGTATGATAGTGGCCTGGGTCTAGGAGGGTTTGATCTTGACTCCTATTAGCCTTTTACTAGGCTTACAAGCACATAAAATTCTACGTACATAGAGATGGCATATAGATGGATGAGATGTTGGCTGATTACCCTCATACGAATGATAAGAGATAGACTCTCTCTTCATCTCGCCACTTCATAAATGATCCTCAAAGATTTTCCCCCCTGGGATATTACCAAAGCAGGATTATGGAATGAGAGCTCTGTGATGATCTATGCGAGATTAGTGCTTTATAAAAAAAGCTTGAATCAAATCAGAATGGCTGCGTGGGAAATTAAAGTCTGGGAGAGCGCTATAAAAACGGAAGGTGCCATTATTGTGTTCATAAACAGGAGCAGTCAAGGTGAAAATGAAACCCGGGCTTTCACCCTGAGGCCCTGCAGCAGCAAGCACCTATGTGTGTGTCAGCTATGCTGCTTTAATACAAACACTACTCGAGTGGAATGGTTGCTTTGAATGAGAGCCACTGTTTGAAGCTTCAGAGTACCGTCAAAGCCCCTGCAGTTGGCCAGTAATTGCATTGGCTAGATAGAAATTGAAACTTCACAGCATAATGAATGATGCCTGGAGGGGCAATGGGGCTTTCATTGAGTGTGACGTCAAGTGGACCAGTCAATCTTAGACTCAATCCACCAGACCGCCCTAGTCACAGGGCCTGGTCCTTTGGGATGGCTCCAACTGATTCATTGTAATAGTTTCCTTCTCCTTCAGAAGTCAGAGGAGTTCAAGGGTGTGCTGAAGGGGAGGGCAGCACTATCAGCTCCCGCATGCTGAGGAATGAAATGTCAGAGTCACTTTGGCTCTCACCTAAGCCCTGAGCTCACAGGTTTGAACGGTATTAACAGTCTGACGCAACTCCACAACTCTAGCTGGCAGTCATGCTGAATGCAGAATCTCATTAAACCAGAATGTTCTCTCGTATTGAAACTAAAGGATCCTCAAAGATCTTCCTGACCTTTTATCTTCAAAGCTGTGCACAATCCTTCCTTTATTTTAATTTTACTTTCTGCAGCTTCCAAGTTATTAGTTATTTGCAACTCAGGTGATTAGCTCAAAAAGTTTGCATGAGCAAAAATGGCAGAATTCAGTGACATATTTCCATGGATGCTACACCTGCAGAGCAACAGCCCTTGAGATGTATGGGAGTATTTGTGCAGTTATTATAGACCTCCTATCCATTATGTCCACATTCACAAGTACGATTACATCATATAACATCATTACATCATTTTAGTCAGTTTCCCATGACTGACACATAACTGAGGAGGCAGGGATATTATGTGCATGGTGTGAATATTAACATGGGCTTTATGCCCTCCGGCTAACAACCATAGCACAGTGTAAATAGCATACAATTCAACATGTCAACTGGTTAGCTGGGCAAGCAGAAGGGTTGTCAGATACACATTAAAAAACCTGTTGCAAGGCGCAAAAACCAAGCGCAGTCATGTCTGACCTCCCATACTCCCCCTCTGAGTCTGCCATGAATCAGCATCATACTAGCATTCAATACAGGATGAGTTATGATTCCTCACATAGAATTCTATGAAAACACATCCTTTAACACTTGTTTTCAGAGCATAATAGGCCTGCCAATCATTGATTTTACAACTGACAAAAGTAGTTTTAGAAGCCAAAATTATCACAGCAATCCACACAGGATGTGAAATGAGGACCAACACATGGAAGTCTAACTGTGACAAACTCTTTATGATATTGATTCGATATCATTCACTCATGTATTGTTTATAGAGAAATTATGTAATGGAGTGGCCATCTGCTGATGCCTCAAGGCAAATGACGAGCCACAAAGTGCAGAAGTGAATCATCCACAACAGACGATAAACCATTCGGTCTGAACTGTCTGCTGTGGAAGACACATGCAGCCACTTCATACAAGTTGCATGAGGTAGACTGAACTCTGAGCAACTTGATGATTGAACAATGGTTCATCTTTGAGAATCTGGATCACACAACTGATCCTCCAGAGTACAGGCTTTGCATAGACTTGTCTGGGTGGTCTTTAAAGACGACGTGATCTTCTCACATACTAGGAATCTGCCCAGGAATTTGACCCATATGTCCATATCCTGGTGCATCTGTGGAGAGGTCATAGGACTGTAACACTGACAGATGCATTGGCCACCCCTGCATCTCTCCAATTCTGACATGATCGTGTGACTTCCTGACAGATAATTACAGAAGACAAGAAGACAAACAGATGCATCTTAGGGAAGGAAAACAACAAACTAAACGAGCGAGTACAAGCCTGGAAGCCCCAAGGATGACATTCAAACATCACACAGAGAACAATGAGACGTCAAGGCAAGATGACAGCTGCGAGAGGTCATCTTCGAGGCAAGAACTGTGATGAAGTTATGAATTTACAGTGATGGATACCACCCTGGCTCTTCAATGCAGAGGGAACACCCGTCAAGACAAGGAGAATGAAATAATCATGGCCATTACACAAGTACACCGTGTGACATCTCCAGAGGGAAATCAAGTCCCAAAAATATGGAAAGCCATATTACAATTGGTCTTAAAGGAGAAATGCATCCAAAAAAGAAACTATCATATGACTTCTCTAAAGACTTGGAATTGAATTTTAAGATATTTTAAAGTACTTCTAAAGTTGAGGTCCTATTACATTGTAATTACATGGAATTCATTGTAATTGTAATTACATGGATTTTCATTTTTGGTGAATATTTTAAATCATCTTCAAACAAATGTTCAACAGAGCGATCATGGAGAAATATTACTTGAGGCAGGTCTGCCAACATGATGTAAGCAACTGATGATACATGGCAGATAAGACAGCTGCCAATCTGTTCATTTGTCTCATACTCAAACTCAAAACCTGCCACAAGCTATCATAAACACACTTGAATCCACCAACTATAATACAGAGGTCAACTATAATAAACACGTCAGTCCACTAACTCCCATAAATGCATGTCAATCTACAAAATATCATACACACCCTTATACACACAGACTATTAATTTCCTTTGTAAATAAACTGGATTGTATCTATTTAATCACACAACACAAAATCTATGTTGCTGTGTAATATAAGCACAGCAGATGTTCTACTGGACCTGAACATGTGTTTGTCAGTGTGTGTGTGTGTATGTGTGTTTGAATGTGAGTGAGATGCTGACAGCAGCTGCATCTGTTCACTCATCTATTTTGCATGAGAAAACTTGACCACACCAATGGCACAGCTGTCTCATTTTTTTATCCATTTTTTGTATCCATTCATTCTGTCCTGAAAAGACCTTCCAACAGTCTGACATTTCGTACAGTGTTCAGAAATTAACTTCAATTATCATCCCCAAAATGGGACAACTTTTA